GACAGTATCAGTGAGGATATGAGTTATGCGAAGAAACTAAACAGGTCGTGGAGTAACAGTCTGACATGTACATAATAAGGACTCACCAAACAAGCAAGTTTTAATTAACTGTAGCAACCACTCCTCAGAAAAAAACATCAAAAATTGGTGATTTATTATTTCTTTTATTGACTATTATTAGTTTATCCATAATCACTGGCTCTTCCACACCATGTCTTTGCCCTGTCTTTCTCCTATCACCCCAAACTGGTCATGGCAGGTGAGTGCACCTCCCTGAGCATGGTTTGCTGGATGTTTCTTCCTGTTAAAAGGGAGTTTTTCCTTTCCACTTTTACCATTTGCTGGCTTAGAGGGGGTCATCTGATTGTTAGGGTTTCTCTGTATTGTTGCCTTATGACATAGTCGCACAACTGTTTAGAAGCTGTTGCTGTGACTTGGCACTATATCAATAAAATTGAACTAAAGTGGACTAAAACAAAAAGGAGGGCTGTTTTTGACTTCGTCTGGATAATTTCTTTTCATATGCCATAAGAAGTGAAAGCTTGTGAAATTTGTCACTATAGGAGCTTTAATGGAAGTGAGGCTGAGAGCTCTGGCATGGGAGGAAATATAGGTTGTCTGTCAGCCATAAAGAAAGCACGTCAAGTAAAACAAAAAGGAAAACTCCGAGTGTAGTAACCACTTCTAGTCACTGATTGAAATTTAGTGTGTGTTTTCACCGTTGTGCGGGTAAACATTTTTTGCCTCAGTGCAAAATGCAAAATATGGAAATGCAGATCAATATCTCCCAAACATTTTGGCTTGTGACCCCTTAACTAAAAAGCAAATTAAAAGAATTAAAGTCTAACATGTGATCCAGAACACTGGGGCTACAATCCCATGTCAAACCGCTTATATCAATAGGAGTTACGTTCCAGTAACCAAACTGGTGGACAAAATCCTTTACCTTGAGATAACTTTTGCCATCATGTTGTGTTTTCTCATGTGTATGCGCTGCCACATTTACATGGCTCAAGTTTTCCCCATCAGTGTAGTACCATGGTCTGACTATAAAAAAGAAATGTGTGCGAGCATGTGAGACTGCTTTGTGAAATCCTCTGTTCACACCCTTGCGCGCACACACAATAGC